GGCCTGCACTGGCTATAGCCACGGTTTACTTAGTAAATTGACAACCATGGCCCCGCGCCGCGCCAACGTAGCACCAGTCCACCGCCCGCTATCTCTCGGACTGTTCGTGCTTGCTCGCCGCCAACTCGCCCAGGAGGCACGGTCTCCCGTGGAAGCCGCCCGCCGGTTCGCACAAAGACGCCAAGTCCAAACGGGCGCACGTCCGACCCAGCAGTCACCATTGAGGGCCGCATCATTCCCTACAACGACAACAGCCGCCCAATCTTCCTGCAGCGCAACGGCCATGCAGTCCCGCTACTCCTCCCCGCCTCCGTTAACCGTGGTCACCTCGCGCTGCAAGCCCGCATCAACGCCGAAGCTGGGAAATACGTCGAGACTGCTGACTTCGTACGCACGATACCCAGCCACACGTCCAACGCTGCTGCCTCCGCGCTCTTCTTCGCCCACGTCGTGGCGGTTCGCCAGCACACGACCTTCATCATCCGCCAGGCCGAACAGTTCATTGGTCCAGAGGTCGACTCGTCGGAACCCAGCCTCACGACCGATGAGGCCGTCCAACGGTTCGAGCAGGTTCTCGTCCATCAACCGTTCGGCATCCAGCCTGTCGCCCGCCTGGACAACACTCTCGCCCGCAACGCTTACCTCCGTACCACCGAAGCACGCTTTCTTGAGGCCCTGGCCGACTACCTCAATGCAACAGGATGACGTGGCTATGGTGCAATTGTCGCCTCCATCCTCGCATATCGGTCCGCCGATGGGTGGGCAGTACGTCGCCTTGTCACCAAGATGCTCGTCGATGAGCTCGACTTTCCCGGGACGCTCCATATCTACGAATCCCGCATCCTACGACTCGCGAACGTTATGGAGTTGGCCACCACGCACTAGGCATATAGTTGAGGTATGCCTGGCACGACTCAGACTCCGACCGAAGCTAACAATCCATACAGAGGGAAAACGCGAAACTGCGGGCCAGATATCGCGCTCTTTACGGCTAGATGGTGAGCACGATGTCGAATTGGGACGGCAGAGTTTCACTCACAGCATGCCCCAGCGTCTAAGTCCTTCCAGCTCGGCACCTCGCTCCCTTCGATCCGGTTCTTGCCCACATCCATGTACAGTAACTACGCCTCGGCTACACCTTCCTCGCTTTCGCGCTACGTCTTCATCTGTAAATTATTGTGACCGCTCTGCGACCACGCCCCCCTATGCTGCCTCGGACGATATGCCTTATGTACCCCCTATGCCCCCTCCTGTACCTTCCATACTAGAGCAATCCTACGGCCCCAACACGGCCATTCGCTCGTATCTCGTTCGGATTGTAGAAGCCGACTCGGATGAGGGAACTAGCGAGGGAGCAAGAAGTCGACAAGGTGACATTACGAACGGATCAAAGTTGGCGCTCCGAAGGCGATGCTCGTCTCTCACTTCCCCCGTCCATGTACTGGGTGCATACAAGCCAGTAGATAAGAAGATTCGGCCCGTACCTGGCGTCTTTCCACAAGAGGCCGCGGTGACCCGAACAATCCCTGAAGATCCTCTGCTTTCTCTACCCGTCCTACCAACACACCCGCCCGACTTCGAGCCAACCGAGCGGCTCTCGCGCGAGCGTCTCGACTCCATGAAGCTCAACGAGGACGGGACACTTTGGCCAGAAGAAGTCAAGTTATTCGAACACATCATCAGGTTATGCGATAAATCACTGGCATTCAGCGACGACGAACGAGGTACGCTAAGGCAAGACTACTTCTCTGATTACATTATACCGACAGTTCCGCATATACCCTGGACGCACAAGAATATCCCTATCCCGCCGGGAATCGAACCGCAGGTCATCACGATGCTCAAGGACAAGATCCGTGCTGGCGTGTACGAACCCGCCCAATCTAGCTACCGTTCTCGCTGGTTTTGCATTGTTAAGAAGAACGGTAAGCTGCGCATCGTTCATGATCTACAAACGCTCAACGGGGTCACTATCAAGGACACTGGCGTACCTCCGCACCTCGATCCATTTGTAGAAAAGTTTGCGGGACGCGCGTGCAACACCGTCTTCGACCTGTTCTGGGGCTTCGACACCCGCCGTATACACCCCGCCAGCCGCGACATGACCGCGTTTCAGACCCCGCTTGGTACGCTACGGCTTACGGCCATGCCTATGGGATTTACGAACTCACCCGCCGAATTTCAGAACTGCATGGTATTCATCCTGGGCCCTGAAATACCCGAGACCGCCAACATCTTCATCGACGACCTCGCTATCCGCGGACCTGCTACGGTGTACCCTGATGCGGACGGCAATCCAGAGCTGTTCGAGCATAACCCGGGCATTCGTCGGTATGTCTGGGAACACGCTCAGGATGTCCTTCGCGTGATGCATCGCATCATGTGCGCAGGTGCGACGTTTAACCCGCTCAAGGCGCAAATATGCGCACGCTCAGTAACAATACTAGGGCAAACCTGTACGCCCGAGGGCCGGTCAGTTGAATCGAACAAGTCCGAAAAGATCTCGGAATGGCCTGCGCCGCGCAACGCGACCGACATACGCGGGTTCTTGGGTCTGTGTGGCACAGTACGCATCTGGATCGAGGGCTATTCAAAGCTCACGCGACCACTCACAGAACTCACACGGAAGGACGCCGAATTTGTATGGACTGACGCTCGCCAACAGGCATTCGACGAACTCAAGCAGCGAGTCGCTTCCGCTCCCGCTCTGCGTTCGATCGACTATGAAAGCGGCCGCCCCATCATTCTGTCCGTCGACTCCAGTCAAACGGCGGTAGGATTCATTCTCTCGCAGCTTGACGAGCACGGCAGACGACAACCTGCACGATATGGCTCCTTACCTATGGGCGACGTCGAAAGCCGGTACTCACAAGCAAAGCTAGAATTGTATGGCCTGTTCCGCGCCATGAAGGCGTTTGGTCTCTACCTAGTCAACGCGCACCCATCACCACCTGGGGTGGGACCTTACGGAACGTCCCATATCTATTCACATGGCCGTTCCGAACGGGGGCCTCGCCGTTCCGAACGTGGACCTTTTCCGAACGGGCCTCAGGGCAAGGCACCTTTCGGCCGGCAATCATCGCCGAAGGCGATTGACACCGAGACGCACGTGCACGCAGCCAAGGTCAAAGAACAAAACGACATTTGATTTCACAATCTACAGTACTAACACACTAGCATACAGGGGGACAACGTAAACTACGATAACGAACGAAAGCGGGCCGTGCACACTAGCAAGTTGGCGGTGCGAAGCGCCGCCGTCGCACGCAAAGCGCGAACGAACGTCGCGAAGCGACGTCTCGCGTGCGAGCGCGTACGCGGCAGCAGCGCGGAGCGCTGCGTGGCGCGAACCATGCCGATCGCCAGCCGTGTCGCCGTGTGGCGTTGCCACGTCACGGGCAGAAGCGCGAAGCTCGGCCTGAGCATCGCGAGCATACACACCGCCCAGTCTACAAAACATATCGTTAGCAGAGCGCCAAAGTGAGACTACGTGACACGTACCGCGAGTGCTAGCAGACAGCCATACGTTGAGGACCTCACCGGGCGGCTGGAGACCTCGCGCGTACGTCCTGACGCTCGCGTGAGGACGTGTTGCCGAAACGGGGACCATGGGCTCGCGACGTACCTCATACTAGTAATTGCGAGACTCCTACGGACACTGGGGCGAGCCCTGCTGGACGAAAATAGCCTGAGCGGTTGGTATCAGAGCAGGCTAGCGCTCGACGACGCACACGACATACCTTGTGCGCTCGTCGCGCTATCCATACGAGAAACGGCGCATCCGCTGGCGCCCGACGCGAGTGAGTCAAGTACCTGTGTGAATGATTAGCATCTGTATGTATAGAATTTATCGCGACGCACCTGGAGCCTCGGAGGAACGAGGGCGCCCCGCTACCAGGCAGCCAACCCCGCCCAAAGCCAAAGCGGGCGTGAGCCAGGGGCCTGCGCTCACCCGTCCATCGACTATAGGAGAACGGACAGGACTGGGAGGGGAAGAGAGAGAGAGAGGAAGGGGCGCGGTGATGGGGGGAGGATGAAAAACGCAAGTCGCAAACGCGCTGACGCGTCGGATCGGGAACGGTCGGAACTGACGGGCCAATCGGCATTTACCGAAGTTCCCGGACGCGCGGATGGCGCGACTTCGCGACTCGCATTCCTTTTTCCCTTCGCCCACCACTCTCTGCGCCCTTCTCCGCCGCCTCCGCCTCCGCCGTCGTCGTCCCCTTCGTCGCGCTCGTCCCAACTCCCCGCGTTCTCCACTCCCTCGCTGGTAGGCTCTACTGGATAATGCCCCCCCTTCGCGTTCTTCTCGCGAGGCTCCCGTATGCTGTCGGTCCGCCTTCCCGCGTGCCAACGACCTGATTTTGCTTAAACGCGCGCGCGGGCGTGTAGAAGGTGCGTTGCCTTCATATTACTTAAATACATGTCGCTAATTACGCCCTAGGATCCCGTGCATCTAGTTTCCATTCCATTCTTACAATTTCGTACGCTCGCGCCGCCCTCGTGCGTGCTGTTGGGTGTTAGTAACCCCCTCCGCTCCCTCGCTCGCACTCCCTGTCCCGTATCTTGTCTCCCTGCCCCTTATCTATTCCCCTGGCCCGCTTTTCAATCCGTCGCTGTGTCTGGACTCGTAATGTACATTTTGTAATATAGCACACCATGTTGTATTTAGCCCTTTCAATATATGACATTTTCTATTGTCATCCTCGAAGTGCCTGCGCTCGGCCAGCACGGATCCCCTGGCGATGCTCGGGGGCTGATGGACGACCCTCGGGGCAGTGGAAATTAATAAATTTATTTGTCGGAGAGTGCCGAGGGGACGTTTCGAACAAGAGGCCGTTCGGAACGGACATGTGTATACATACACGGACGTTCGGAACGTTGCACCCCTACGACTGCACCCATTGTTCGTGGAGGTGGACGCCGCCTACATCAAAGGTATGCTCGAACGTCCTGACTGGCATCCGTCCGCATCGATTAATCGCTGGATCCAAGGCATTCTGAACTACGATTTCACGCTCGTACACGTACCAGGCAAGGAGTTTTCGGGTCCCGACGGGTTGTCGCGCCGAACGCCGAATGTGTGGGACTACGTGGAGGAGGAGGTTGACGAAACGGAGAATTTCGTACTGTATGCAATGCCCGGAGACCCGCTAGCACCCAACCTGAATAAACCTGTTTCATCGGTATCGGTCCCGGGTGTGCACACGCCCGTGCCATCGCTCCCTACCGGAGTAGTTCGGGTCTACCTAACTCGCACAGAAGAACATCTAGGCGAGATCCTGACGTACTTGCAAGAAGATCGTCTACCGTCCTGGGCGAACACGGATATGGACAAAGCTAGGTTTCAGGCCAGCGCCATCAGGTACTTTGTGCGCGACGATGCTCTCTTTCGGCGGCGACCCGGCCGCATCCCGCAGAAGGTAATCTTGGACTCTGAAGCGCGGAAGCGCGTTCTCAGTGGGGCGCACGAAGGTGTGGGACACAGAGGTATTGAGGCAGTTACGGCCACACTCAAGCTACGGTTCTACTGGCCGAAGATGGAGCAAGATATAGCCGCACACGTCAAGTCCTGCCATGAGTGTCAACTCCGCCATACAGGCCAATGGAAGCTCCCGCCTACGATCTCAGCCCCAACGCGAATCTGGGAGAAGGTACACATCGACGTGATGTTTATGCCAAAGGCGCATGGTTATCGGTACATCGTAGCAGCCCGCGACAACCTCACCCGTGTTACCGAAGGTCGTGCACTTCGCAACCTGTCCACCCAGAACCTGGCGAACTTCTTCTGGGAACAGATATACACCCGGTATGGTGTCATCTCCCGAGTCGTTACCGATAATGGAGGTGAAGTCAAAAAGGCTTTCGAATTGCTCATGGACCGACTACAGGTTCCCCATGTTCACATCTCTCCCTACAACGCACAGGCGAATGGAGTCGTAGAACGAGGGCACTTCATCATGCGCGAAGCTATCATCAAGGCATGTCAGGGAAACACCAGTAAATGGCCCGAGCATGTTGCCGCCGCATTCTATGCGGATCGTATCACTGTATCGCGACAGACAGGGTACTCACCGTACTTTCTGTTGCACGGCAGGCACCCTACGCTTCCCATGGATCTGACCGAGGCGACTTTTCTGGGAAAGCCCTTCGACACGCACATGTCCACGGCAGACCTTCTTGCTCATCGCGTTCGGCAGGTCCAGCGCTTACCGGCGGATATTCACAAGGCTGCGGAACGGCTTCGAAACCATCGGCTCCGCTCAAAAGCCCAGTTCGAGCGCCACTTCCGTCTGAGGCTCATCCATCGGGAAATCTTACCTGGACAAATGGTGCTGGTAGCGAACTCGGCAGTCTTTCGCTCACTCGACAAGAAGTCCAAGCCGCGATATATTGGTCCATATCGAGTGGTGCGTCGTAACCAAGGAGGAGCTTATATTCTGAGCGAGCTAGATGGGACAGTCATCTTTACCAAGTTCGCAGCCGCTAGAGTCGTCCCGTACATCGCTCGCGACCCACTCACCATCCGTTCACTCACACGCCAAGAAGAAGTACACGACCCGCAGCTCGAGAAGGACGTGCTTGACAGTCCAAGCAGTGATGATTCTACCGAAGCCAGCAGTCCAGACACCGACTCGGAGTAGCAACCGGGGACGGTTGCAGTTCCAGCATGCCCCAGATGTCGCGCGCGCTTCTGAAATCATAAGAAAATAGGATGCGCAGTGATGAACCTGGGTGGCAGGCCGGGCCAGTCTGGTAGTATAGAACCTTGT